GAGGTTGAGAAAACCTGTTTCTGAGAAGCAATACGCCATCTGGTAAGACTGGAGGACTAAAGCTGGGAAACCACTCACTTAATGTTACTATTGAGATAGCAGCCAGCTATTATGCACAATATATTTGTCCCAGAAAATAGAAGAACTAGCTGTGTGATTTTGTTCCATAGTTTTGCAGGAATTATTAAGGACAATTATTACATTTCAAATGTTCAAGAAGCTGCAGGTACCTGATTGATCTAGATAGCTATACTTACAATGATTCCATAAGATAACTCACTGTTATTCCTTTCCTGTTATATTGCAAATGGGAAAGACTGAAGCTGTGTGAAAGACTGAGATTCAAACCAATAGCTTTCTGATTCTTGGCTAATTCCTAATTAGCCAGCGCATTATACCAGGTTTTGTTAGTTTCAATGAAAGTCAGGTAGCATCACCTTCCTGGAAATAGCACTCAAAGGGTGGAGATTTCTGAAATACATCAGGGTCCATCTAGAGTAGCTTCTCTTTCTACATAGCCAGCTGGGGCTATCTAAGAAAACCACAAGGAGTATAGGCATCTCCTTATGTTTCCACCTGATGAGCTGGAGGCACATAAAGCATCTGAATATGAAGGTTCCATTTTGCTATCAAGGCTAATAAGCACAACTACAGCCTTCCCAAAACTTGTGCCTTCCAAATGTTGACTATCAGATCCTACTTCCCCAAGGAAGAATTGCTAATAACCTTTCTGGCTGGTAATTATGAAAGCTGGAGGTCCACAAAGACAGAGGACACTAACTTGGGGAACGTTGCAGTAAGTGAATTATCCTGAGTAGTGAACATTATATGTTGTGGTAGAAAATCCCATGAGACAGATTTCTCCAGAGCATGCATTAGAAACCAAATAAAGCACTCAAGAAAAAAAAAATGAGAAAATAAGACAATGGCTTAACGAAAGAATTAAATTTCAAGCTATAAAGCTCTTACTGCAAAACAGCAGATTTGGGGGGGAAGGCATCTTCTGTCTGTAGCCTTCAGCATCTAAGGGTATTGTAATGAAATTACTTTTCTACAGCTGCTGTTCAAGGAGCACCAAAGGAAGTTGTGAATCCATCAAGTGGCCGGGCCACTCTTCTGGAATCCATCCGCCAAGCTGGTGGCATTGGGAAGGCCAAGCTCCGTAGTGTCAAAGAGAGGAAACTAGAAAAGAAAAAGCAGAAGGAGAAGGAGCAAGGTACCATCTGTCCTTCCACCTTTTGCCATCTTTCTGTACTTAGATTTGACTGCATGCTCCACTGCATCAGGGTGAATCAAACATTGAAACATCTCTCAAACATCTGAGTGGTAGTTAATATAATGCTGTTATATCATATATTCAGAGGACACATATATTGTGACTGTGAGAATGCATTACTGTATGGCAGAGAAATCTGTGGCCTTCAGGAAGCAATTGTACCTCAACTCTCTTCAGTTCCTCCCACAGTCATAGATGATGGGTGCCATAGTCTTGACAATACCTGGAGTAGTGTTTCTCAATCTTGGCAACTTGAAGATGTGTGGACTTTAACTTCCAGAATTCCCCAGCCAGCATGGCTGGCTGGGGAATTCTGGGAGTTGAAGTCCACCTATATTAAAGTTGCTGAGGTTGAGAAAACCTGTTTCTGTTGTGACACCCAGCAGCACCACTGTACCTGGCACTGTTGTACCATTGGAGGCCAGGCTCCCTGTCTCAACTGAAAGGCTTAGGCAAGCTAAAAAGTTGCTAGGTTGCCCCCTCCATTTTCATAGACAATCCAATTTGATAATCCCTCCATATGGTAGTCTTCTCCAGTTTTTCCTCTGCCCATTAGAGAATAATATCGCAGCAAGATGGCAGTGATTGCTATCATGTTTGGTTATCAGTTTTTAAGAGAGCTTTGTTAAACTCAGAGAGGCTATGACGAAATCAATAGCACAGGCACCACATCCACCCTAATACTCCTTTGCAGGTCACGTTTACAAGCCTGTGTAAGGTGATTAAATCAGATGTAGTGATCATTTGGGCTAGAGGAGATGATGGGGAGATCCACCAGGGAACTATTTTATGAGAATGCCTATGACATTTTCTCCCAAATGCCTACTGCCCAAGTAGATTGGGATAACAGTCCTATGTGGTGATTTCATCCAAAACAGTCTTGGATTACCTGCCGATTCCTGATTTTCTCTCCATCTGTCGTCTTCTGCGTCTGATTGTGGATTTCTCTTTTTGTGTTTTCTCCAGTGGGAGCTACTGGGCAAGGCGGAGATCTGATGTCAGATCTCTTCAACAAATTGGTCCTCCGGCGCAAAGGTACAGAAGCTTGTTGTATTCTCCCCAGTGGTGCAGCAAAGACAAAGCTAAGAAGGTTTCCTATTAGTGGAAAACAAGGGTTTTTTTTCACCGTAACTGGGGTTCAAAGCCAAGTGATGTATTTCTTATGGGATTTTCCAATGCTTTTAAAATTAAAACAATCCGTGTATGAGACACAAAGGCAAGAACAGGATCAGGACAGAACAATTAAAACCGCTCTGAGCTCCACTGAAGAACAAGACGAAAAAGTTCCATTCACACAACACACTTAACTACTTACCGAATGAACCCATTTTCTGGGTTTGCCCATTTAAATCATTCACATTAAACAAGCTAATCATGTTGTATGGTTTATCTCTAGGTGTTTACTTGATCTGGTTAACCTGGCTATGGGAACACAGCCATAAAGCAGAAATAGCAGAAATTGATCAATTTTGCACAGAAAAAGCAGGAAGGTTTCACTATTGCATATAGGACTAAACCTATCATCTTCATTTTTTGCTAAGATCAAGCCATCTGGCAAAATAAACCTGCTCCAGGTTTTAGCCCAAGTGAGATGATGAGACGACTAGTGTGGGAAACTTGTGACTATCCAGATTTGGTTGAACTGTATGTCCCCAAATCCCTCATCTTTGGCCAGGCAGACTGGAGCCACTGGAATTAAAAAATTCTGCAATCAGGAGAGTCACAGGAATATTCTCTCCTTAAGCCTTTTCACAGGATTTGCAATAGGCTTGGGGTTTTTCTAGAAATGTCCACCACTTTGAATCCAAAGCCAGAAAGGTATTTCAGAGTAGATAAGGGCATGCATCTGCCACCCCTTCCTTAAAAAAAAAAGCAGCTTCCTGGGCTCACAGTTGCCCCATAACCCCAGGAAAGTATAAATTGGTTAAGCAGGCATTGACAAGATACAAGGTGTTTTGTGATGGATGTGCGCACACTCTTGGCACTCCCTTAATTTCAACTTATTTTCTGTACAGCTACCATACAAATCCAGGAAAAGATGCAGCTTCTTTAAGGAGGCATTGATCGGTGTGGCGTGTGCACCCCCACACTGAGTCTGGAACACTTTTTGAGCTTTGGATTCAAAGCATTACACTTAAGCTTCCCTCTGCATTTTAGGTGTAGGAGTGTCCTCCTTAGCAGCTTTTACATCTAACCTCATTTTTCTTTGCAATCTGCCATCTAATTTGGGGATGTGGATCTGCATTTCCAGCCTGCATTTGCTCTTTTGTGTTGGTGCAAAATGCTGAGTGAATAAGTTAAGAAATGTGTTTCTGTTTGTCTTGGTTTTCCTTGCGGGGCTGGTAGTTCCCCATCTTTGTCACTGAGATGTCAGGTCTGCACATTTGAGGAAGTGTAGATCTCCTGGCGCAACGTTCCATTTTGTCTTCTGTCCTGCAGGCATCTCGGGCAAAGGACCAGCGGCTGGTGGAGACAGCAACACACCCAATGTGCCAGCTGGTGCTTTTGGCCGCATCTCAGACACAATTCCACCCCTGCCACCTCCACAGCAGCCAGCTGGGGAAGAGGATGAGGATGACTGGGAGTCCTAGATGGCCCTTCAGAAGGAAACATATGGAAGTTTAATAGAGACGCATCTTGTTGTTTGACGTTTCCATCTTTTTGAGAATACTTAGCAGTGGATATTGCCACTTTGCCATCCACTCCAGAACAGCAACATGAACGATCTCTAATTACACACTCAGCAGAATCTGCCACCATGCAATTTGCATTCAAGGATGATGAGAAACGGTTTCCATCTTAGAAGAGCCTCCGTGGTTGAACCTGGCATGTGAAAACGTTTAGGCATTTGGCATCTGCAACAAGACTCAGCTTTGAAGTTGGGGAAGAACCTGAGCTTCAAAGGGTACCCAGCTACTGCTAAGAACAGCTTTTTTTCTCTCTCAACGCTCATATCCTTTCCAGCTCTGTAAAGAAGAGCATTTGCCTGTTCAGTGCAAATATTACATATAAACAAGCATTTATTCTACTATTTACCTTGAATGCCCTAAATGAAAAGCTAAAAGAAGCCTGACTGCTTTTGCATCCTTGTGCAATAGGAACCAATTTCAGTGGACAAAACTGGAATCAAGGGTGATGCATTATTAGCTTGCATACAGGAAAATGTATTAACCTCTTCCCAAAAGCATACTTTGCTTTACCTTTCTTGTCCTTGTCTTACTTTCAATTACCTGTTGTGAAAGGTAGTATTTCTTTGCAGCATCAGGGTGGAAACTCAAGTGTGTTAAGGCAATGCCACACAGTTCAGTTGCTCTAGGTATCTTTAAGCATCGGCGAACATGTTTCTCACAATATCCGCCTGAGCTACACTTCTGGGCCATGTGTGCGTGCTCGCTGAACAGTGTTATAAACCTCTCTGGTTTGAAAATGTCACCAGTAAGCTATGTGTAAGGGATGATGCTTTTCTTTCTATCTCTGTGCAAGTAAGCTAAAAAATAGTATAAAGCAAGTACTTAAAGAAGGAAAGGATTGGATAATGTAGCTGTGCAGCAATTCAAAGGTAAAAAGATGCTTTGAAACACTCACATAGCAACTGCCCACAATCTTTTCCCAGGATCATGCAGCTGCCTTTCGTTTGAAGCAGTGTTGCTCAACCTCGGTAAGTTTAAGATGTGTGGACTTCAACTCCTGGAACTCCCCAGTCCACACATCTTAAACTTGCTGAGGTTGAGAAATGCTGATTTGAAGAGTTGTAGACAGATCTGTCCCACAGTTTTTCACCCCCTTTTTGCCTTTGCATCTGAAATGCTGCACAGCCCTTTGGGGTGGAGTTTTTTTTTTTATCAGCTTTTGCTTATACAAGCTTTTTTTAAAAAGTGCTTTTTAGCAGTTCCTTTCCATCATCCACCCTCCCAAAGCTAACCTTGACCAAACACAACAGTAGACCTATGTTGTTCCCCTAAATCAGCAGCTTTTGCTTAAGGGTGGATAGCAAATTGAAGTTAAGCATTCCTTGGGTGAATGGATTAATGAAAGAGCAGTGCTTCAAAAGCTAAAGTGATCCCTGTGCCACTCAATATCCTGCCTAATACACCATAGCAGATATTATTTTCCTTTTACTTCGTAGTTGGCCCCATTTGATGCTGGCAGCACAGCATCGCTTCTCTAGTCTAAAAGAAAGGGAAAACAGATCTGTCAAGGTCCAGTAAAAAGGAGAACCTGGAGTCTGTAACTGATTATATCCCACACACAGATTTTAGCAACGATGACTGCTAGTGGTATAGAAAACATTTTGAATTTGAAATAGCTGTTTTGAGCGTGAAATGCTTTCAGAATGGTTAGAACAAGCTAATTTAAACTTGAAATAACCACTTCAAGCTCTGTTTCAATTTCAAAATGTTTGCACACCCCTGTTAACTACCTGAATAGTTGAACTCTGAATAGCATACATTATAACCTCAAAATAAAATCCAAGTGGCACTGATATTGCAAAATCAAGGGGCAGGGGGAACAATGTTATTGTCCTAATCTCTCCCATGGAAAATGCAATTCTACCATAAACAGAAGAAAGCGCCTCTTCTCCAACCCTAATCTCATGTATCACTTTGATATTATATGCTACACAAAGCATGCTGAGTTCAAAAAACTTCTTTAGTGACTGGAAGAAAAAACATACTCAAAATTAAAATCAGGCAATAAAAGTGTAATGCATTTAAATACACAGTAGACATTTTGGGTGGGTGGAGGCAGCAGCTTTGAGTAGATCTGTTATTCCTCACAAAGAGACAGACTTGGAATTTGATTTCTTCTCCCAGTGGAACTGCAAGATAGAAATTAGGAATTGCATGAGGCATGCAGTGATGAAAGTCAGTAGAGATAATAATGAGCACCTTTCAACAGCAGGAAAAAATAAATCTCAAGAGTCTAGCACTGATTGATGCCTGGATTCTCTAGGATTATATCATTCCATAGGAATTTGCAAATGGAGTCTGATTCAGGACTTACTTTTCTTAGTGCTGCAAAAGCTGGTCCAAACCCAGTCTTGATTTGGGTTCTGCTTTTAATCCACTGAGGAAGTTTGTTGAGAATAGCTGGACGTGTATATCTGTGATCTAAAAGCACAATACTAGCGAAGTCCTTTTGATGCCGAATTGCTCTTCCTGTAAAAGTGAACCATTTTATTTATTTAATCCATTTATGTGGCCACTCAACTTGTAATTGTAACACTGAATGAGTAACATAGGATTCAATTCAATACAAAATGAGAAGTCACTGGGCACTGTTGCAAACTGCTAGCGCTTCAAGGAAACAGCTTGTCTTTCCTTCCTCCCAACAGCACCCAAGCCTTGGGGCAAGAATGAGACTGATATACAAATATTTCCTCTCTCAAGATGACCAAGGCAAGGAATGGGGGGTACAGCCCTCTGTACCCTGCACCTGTTCTTCAGATGTGTGAAGTTCAGTTGTCAAAATTTCCCAGCCAGAACAGTCACAGCTGAGAATTCTAGAAGTTGAAGTTTATGCATCTGGAAGGCACTCAGGTTGCAGAAGGCTGTTATGTTGAAACTGCTGTGTGAGCTATTCCTTAATAAAGCAAATTTTGCTCTAAGGACTCAATATTTCATACTGCTAAACAGGGAACCTGGTATTTCTGCTCCCAAACTCAGCAATCTAGGAAGCTAGATTATGAATATATGAAACTAGGTAGGAGAAAATGGCAAATTCTTCCTGCTAGTCTCTCACTGCCTGCCCCTCTCTAGCATTTTTGGCAGGTTGGTTGTACACAGGAAAACATCTATGCATGGCCTAATTCTAGAGGAAACTCTTTCATATTCAGACAGAAGATCCATCTCGCCTGTAGCAGTTGTCCATAATCAGAAGCAGAGATTTTTTCTGCTCTCATGTTACTCAAGGGTTTCCTTAGGAGATACACAGGAATGAATCTAGGATCCTCTTATGTACAAAGCATGACCCAGATGATCATTCGCCATTGCACTTCATTATTTTGGTGAAATACTCTGCACAGAAGCTCGTATGAAAATGTACATGCAGTACCACTGTATGATAAACTTGTAACATAAATGAAAGGACCACCAATTCCTAATTTCTCTGCTACCTTATCAAAACTTCCCTGATCAGTTGCTTGGGAGTGATTCCCTTTTTATGACCGACAATGAAGTAAGCAGGTTCCCTGCACCCTAATTGCATACTTACCTATTGACTGATTGACTGCTTTCATGCACAGATTTTCAATGAGCAAGTTTCCTGGAGATTGGCCTGTACACTTTGGCTAGAGAAAACCAAGACAGACAGGATACATAGACAAGTCAGCCTAGAAGTTATGAGTATTCATCTCAAGCCACCCAATAATTCAGCCTTCCCCTACAACTGATGCCACTGTTTCTATTTATTTGATTTATACCCCACCTTTCTACCCAAAAGATACTGAAGGCCTACATATGTTGCATAGAATTTCCTTAATTCTATTCAGCTATAGATGTGACTCAAGAAACCATAGTGTAACACATATAGAGGACACCCTATTCTCTACATAGCATGTTCGGAATGGATAAACCCGGCTTTTTCGTAATTGCTGCCCCAGGAAAGTGGCTGTGTTGGAGACAATCATTTGGCCCAATTATCTACTTAGATTACATTTCCAGCTCTAGTGGTTACATGGCCAGGCATGGCAGTCTGCAACTCTCTCTCTGCTAGTTGTAGGCAATGCATATGTTATGGCAACAGGAGATAACAGATAAAGTAAATGTAGAATCTGACACATGTTTAAGACCCCCACCAGCAAAACAGAAATGCCTTTGATAACAGCGAAGCAGTGCCACGCTCTTCTTCCAAAGAAATGAACAGACAACATTCTCACTATAGCATTAAGGACACGTTCATCCATCTAAAATAAATGGGTGATCCTTCTTGGATCATGCAGTGGTAAATCAGCGATCTGTATTAAGGTGAGAGGAGAGCTACGCATAACCATACCACCTCCTACAGTTTCAGCCAAGACAACCCCAGAGACCTATGTTAGCTGATACTCAGCCACTATTACCATTCAGTATCTTGGGACTTGCAGTAGTTAAATGTCATCGCAGTTAGCCTAAGAATGGGGACTAATTGCAGCTTATCTCATGTATGAAAATGAATGAAGAAGAATTTGTAAACACAGCAATGCAAATGTTCTAAGTTGCATGACTACAGTGAGAGAGGAAAAAAACACAGAAAACCGCTACATAGCAATTGTACTCCTATATTACTCTGACCCCAAAAGTGAGCAAAATGGATCAAGCTAAGTGGAAAACAGTAGACCTTTTACCATTGTTTTATCAAGGTAAGCCATTTTCTCCTGAAGTTCTGGGGATTTTATGTTGGGGTAGGGCATGCCCACCATAATCACACACCTGGAGAAAGAGAGATTGGGGAAAAGTGAGAAACACATAAATCACCGAGAGCTATTTCTTTAGCTTGTATCATAATCCTGCAATGCCAAATAGACCCTTTCAATCTAAGGGTCCCCCCCCCACCATGTCATTTTATTTTATTACATGTTTCACAAAAGGATAAACAAAAATAGGAAGAAATACAAAGAACAAAAAGAAACAGAAACATTTACAATCTAAGCATATCACATATAAATCAAGTGCTCAACAGTATATAAAACTTTCTCTAAGCTAAAAAAAAGAAAAACTATTTTGGTAAAGTAACATGAAAATCGGTGCCAAGGAGAAACCTACTGCACCATTTTTGATTAGTAGATAAAATTGCCTTTTCAAAAACAGATTACACTTTCAATCTAAGGCACCTACAGTGGACAGACTGGCATATCAAGTGTATTCAAGGTAGCCTAATGTTTTTACCCTTGGAATCCTAACAGCAATTTGGGGGAGTTTTAAATAAAATGGGGTGGGGGGGGGGAAGAAGCAATTTGGGAGTAATATTCTGCATACAAATTGGCTTCCTACAGGTATGGTTCATGGTACAAAGCCCGTGACTACTGTTTTATTCAACCAAGAACAGGCCCCTGTTTCATTTCAGAATCATTTGTAAGAAGAAATGGCTTTGTCTCTGAAAGCAAGGCTAGGCATTGCAATCTACAAAACCCTCCCACCTAGTTGCCTCCAAAGCCTGATTTCCAGCAGCTTGTTTCTGCCATCCTGTGCATCAAGCTGTGCAGTTGTCCCACTCCAATATGCAGTAAGGCAGGTGCAGGGAGCAGGGTGGGAGGAATAACACTGGCATTAGGAATGAAAGGGGGAAAATTTATGAAACAAATTCACCTTAAAGAAGAAAGTGAAACAGCTTTGCCCACTTGCCACACTAGCTTCTTTCTCCCTCTCTTTTTTTTGCCCTAATATCTTCTATTTTGGCCTTCAATCTGTTGCACTATGTGGAATATGTCCCATTATAGTCACACGTCCTGTGCTAAAAGCTAAACCCAGAAGTCACCATTTGAACGGTCCTTCCGAAAATTAAGACTTTTGTATTTGCTCAAACCTACAGTATGCCGCCCTCACTCCATCAACATTTTATAAGTCTCCAAACTCTAAATACCCATTAGAAGAAAATACTTATTCCAGTTAATAATTCCACCCCCCACCCCACCCCTCGTAAGCACAAGCACTCATTTTTTACCTTCCCAGGTCATCCGAAAAATTGATTCCTTCACTCATTTTCCCACCAACTACAGAAAACAGCAATGCTCCTGTCATGGGGCCATCTGCTAGGTTGCAGCGCTGTGTCAAAGGAAGTCCACAATGCATGATTAAAAGCAGGAGTACCTCTACAATCAGCTTAGTGCCTCTTCCCAACTGCGCAATAATCTTCCAATCTTCTGTTTCATACCTTGATACACTTGGCGTATTCTGCCAAGACCTGCTCCACTTGGTTCGCTTTCTTGGGTTCTTGAAATATCTGTAAACAGCATCATAGATTAATTACCATGAAGAAACATCACTCACACCATATGGATAGTAAGATCTCAGGAGCTGTAAAGTTTTGTGGCTTTTGTACAATCACCAAAATGAAGGACAATGATATTGGCTTCAGCTTCGGTAAAACCTTGATTTAAAGCAGTTTTTTTCAAATTTGACAAATTTAAGATGTGTGGACTTCAACCCCCAGAATTCCCCAGCCAGCATGCTAGCTGGGGAATTCTGGGAGTTGAAGTCCACACATCTTAAAGTTGCCAAGTTTGAAAAACACTGAATTAAAGGATCCCCATTTAGCAAACTTCAAATATGATGGACAGAATTTCCATCCAAACATCCCTCCAAAATAAAAGCAGAGTCTACTGCATCTGAAGTAGCCCAGTCTTAAATTTAAGTTAAATATACAGATGTTATTATGTCAAATGAAACAACTTGATGTAAATGGCACAATGTAGGTTATTCGTGGCATGTCATCATAGAAATGTCATACTTTGGGACTTAATGGACATTGAGGAGTAATGGATGATGAATTCCCCCCATCTCCTTTGTTTACTATTGGTACGTAATGGGTAGCATGCCTTGAATACCAGTGGTTAGGAAACTAGTGAAAAAGAGTGATTGCCCTACTCTCTGTGCTTGTGAGCTTCCCAAATCTATCTAGCTGGCCACAGGATGCTGTCTTTGAGGGGCCATTGGCCAGATCTAGCTGGGTTCATCTTACAACCTCAACCCTATTCTCATAGACAAGCTTATGTTGCAAGATCATTAAGGGACTAAAAGACTACTTGAGCCCCTGGCTTTGACTATGTGCCATAACTGGTATGCCTACAAAAGGAGGAATGGAAATTGCTGGATTTAGTTGTCCAATTTACAGGATGCTAATTTTCAGTTTGTAAAGAATAACCATGATGACTAAAGATAAAGATTCTCTTAAGTCAATCTTGACTTGCGGTGACAACTTCATCAGATTTTCTTGGCAACATTATGGAAGCAGTTAGCCTTCTGGGATGTTTTTCAACTTCCCAGCCTAGCCCACAACCTTGGGATTTCCCCCATTCAAGGGCTAACCAGGTGTGACTCTGCTTTTCTTTTCCTGATCAGCCATGGTTGTCTTGGTGGTGCCACCAGTCAAATTTCAGGATGGTTTGTACAATTTTTCCTGTCTCCTACACAAATAAGCCATACTCCCTTTGCTTCCGGAAATGATGAAGCACCATTTAATCTATTTTAGTTGAAGTATAATGATCAGCCACCCAGCAAGTATCATTGATTGGTTAACAGGCAAGGATTGGCCACATACACACCCTCTCCGCTTCACTGTGCAGGCAGCAGGACCAGTTTGAGACAGAACAACAAAACCAGAGAAGAGGAATCAGCCAATAATGGTTTGATGTTTGATTTCACCAGCAGCATCAGGCTGTGGAATTACCTTCTTCTTAGTAGTCAGCCGGGTAAGCAATCCTGTCTTTTCCCAGTGCATGTATACCTGCTTCTCATAGTCATAGGAGGGGAAGAAGCACACCACACCTCCAGGGACAACGTTGCACAGATTAGAAAGAATCCGCCCCGTCTCCTCCATCTGAAAAGTGGAGAAAAATCAACAATTTCCATCTTCAGGGTGCAAAACAAAACCTTTCTTCTATCAGTGGCTGTATTCTCTTTGAGAACAGAACTTGGAGTGGGCTGGGCTGCAAAAGGATGCTGGAAGGGAGTTCACAAAGCTCAAAGCTCAGAGGTTGAGCACTGAAGCTTAGAGAGAATCAATTGGGAGATTACATGATAGACAAATCTGAAGCACGGAGGCTCAAAGTCAGGTGTCATGGGACACTCTCTTCTTTCTGACACCCATCTTTCCTCTCTTTTTCTCCTTGACTCCTTCTTTCCCACAATTATAGGCTGCTAGGAAAAAGCAGACATCTCTACCCAGAAGTCTGTGCTGATCTCTTCCAGAAGGTTTTTGAAATTAAACCAAAGAAAAGGTGGCCTGCCTTGTTTCAGAGCACCATGCCCAACTGCCAAAACAAAGATGAGAAATCCTACATTATGTTTGGTTTCCCAATCCACTCCATGCAACACCAGAGTCCTTCTTAATGACTTCTCCCATATATGAGCATCTGTGCTTCAACAGTATCAGGATGGCCTCTCCCTTGACATGGAAATACAGTAAGTTGGATCTTCTTGGAGGAGAGCTACTTGTGGAGTCCAAAGGAAACCACAAAGGGGATCCATTTCCTTTGCAAGTGTCTAAACCAAATGACAGAAACCAGGCAGGGAGGACCTTGGCAATATCCATTTCAGATATGGTTGTCCTATGAAGCTCCATTGTCTAAAGAGGCAATGAAGAGTAATGAAAAAATACTGACCAACTGAGGCAAGCCTCTTTTCTCATATGTAAATTCCAGCAGCTGATTGGATGGACCACTGCAGAGGATGATGGGTAAAATGTTGTCAGGGGGAATCACATGACCTGATAACACAAGAATCAAAGGAAGAAATGAATAAGCTCCTGTTCTTGTTAAGATGCTGAAAAGCCAAACTTCCTGACTCTTGTACCATTAACCAGATACTCAGCTACAATGACTTAACAAATACCATGAAATCAGCTTGGTTCTTCTTCCAAGCAACATTCAGCACAATCTGAAACTGTAGAGGGCACAGAGAATGGCCTTAAAGGACGGGAGGAAGACCGCTACCGAGACAATGGTCAGATAAGCAGGGCTTGAACCCAAGCCAAGAAAATAACTTGAGAAAATGTCTCAGACAAGCCCCTTCCTTGTTCAGAGGAAGATGGGGGGGCAGAAAAGCATATTTAGACATGCAAGATTCTGTACTACAGTTATTACAATAAAAGTCATCCTGACTTATAATGGCGTTGATTTCTTATTCTGGTGTATGTTGTTGGGCTGACAGAAACTTTCACAGCACCTAGCAGAACCTGCACTTAAAACATTCAATCTTCTCCATTTTGAAAGTGTGACTATGCAGACATCATGTTTTCAATGCTGAATACTTTTTAAAAAATTTCTTTACTTGCCACATTCTGCTTGCCTGATGACCAAATCTGGAAATCACAATTTTGCACATTTCAGGTGACCTTTGAATTGGTCTAACAAAAATTAATTGCTCTGATATTAATTTTGCAATTGCTATTTTAGCCATCAAAGCCAAGGCCTATAAACTGATGATAGCAAAATAAGATTTTGACAAGGAACAGGCAGAACATAGCTTGGACTCTATGACAGATCTGAGTGTTCTGCAAGAAATTGATGCACTTTTCTTTCTTCTATGCTCATTTTTAAAATAGGAGTTTCATTTGGTTGCCTTTCTGTAGCATGGCTGTTTAATAGTAGAGTTTTGTGTGCAAATGTTCTATAATAACGAGAGAGAGAGAGAGAGAGAGAGAGAATATTGTAAAAGAAAGTTCAGAGAAGATGGTTGTGGTTAGTAACTGAATCTTCCCCAAGCTATCCTTTAACGCTTTCCTCTCATTAATAGACTCTGGGTGCTAGTAAAACAAAAATATAAACAGATCTTTCAAACACCTGGACCTGCCTCCCATCATTTAAGTGAAACAAGGAGCAATTACTGTCAATTGTGACAGCTGGAAGTCTCAACTCAAGTGTGAAATGGAAAAAAAAATATTGGGAATTTTATCAGACAGATGCTTTAAAAAGAACCCGTTTAGAACAATTTCAGAATTCACAATTTTAGTAGCTTCCACTGATTCTACAGTGGAATATGCATTGCCTACCCTAATTTTTACTCTGAAACATTTGAAGAAAAAAGAAAGCCCATTTTCATCACAATCACTTAAATCTTTAAAATATTCTTTTCCAAAAGAAAACAGGCTTTAAACTACTAACCTAAGCTGTGCCTGTTCTAGAACTCATCATAGATACATTTAACAGTTGACTCCATTCTCTGTAATTGAAACAGCAGTCAAGAGAATGAAGGGAACCTGGAAATTTGCAAAATACGAAAGAAAAACTTAAAACAAATGAGGTAATACTAAATAGGCACAGGATCTTGGTTTGACCACTGGAAGAGGAAAAATAGAAAACTGGGAGCAGGTTGTAAGAAAAAATGGAAAGGGGAATAGCTGATAGGTTGGCTGGCACTAAAAATAAGAACACTCTGTATTATAATTACTGTAGGTCTGATTTGTCACTGAAATATTTCCTGGTTTTCCACATGCATGTTTATAAGACAGGAAGTCCTCCTTCATTCTCTTGCCCCTTCATTTTAATAGAATGTAAGTGCAGTGGTCGAAGTTTGCAGTTTCTGCCCATAAAGCTCAAGAAGAGATGGAAGATCAGCCCTCAGCAGCCTTTTGGAAGGACATGACTGGGTAGGCCAAACCTTGCTTCAAAGGGCACCCAAGCAAGAATTAAGAGATCTGGGGCTCCCCCTGCTCCCCAAGACTCACCACAGGAAAATTCCTCAATCCTGTCAGTGTCAACACCAGCACCCAAAAGCAGCTGTTCCCGGAAGTCAGCCACCTACAAGTCACACAGCAAAAATCCTTTTTTAGAAGACTTACACAGCACACCCTGCTCAGTGTGTTCAACTCTTGGGGAGGACAAAATCAAAATTCTGCCCATGTAGCCCAAGACCTGCAGCAAAAGAATCAGCACCCCATAATAGTCATATGCCATGCCTGACTATTTGGACCTGTAACTCAGTATTACTCATCCTATTTGGTATTAGAAGCTTCTCAAGCAGAAAGTCCCTTCCAATCTGAGTTTTAAAGCTGGAAGTGCCAGTTCAAGTATTTTTGAGAGGTTCTGCATGTAACAGAACTGCCCCTACCACTGGCGAGGTCCTTCTCAAACCAACCTGTGTGTGTGATGCAGAGGAAGAAGACTAACCCCATCTCTTTTCTGCAATTGACTCAGATAAAATAAGGAATTGTAGAGTCAATGCTCTACAGACCCTTCATTCAGCAACCTTCCTCATCTGAAAAGCCCACTTGCTTGAAGCATCACAAATGAAGGGCAGTGGTGTCATTAGGTGGTTCCACTTCACTTCTGTAATAACTTTAGAGCCACCTCCCTGCTATCTAAACCACCCCAGCTGAATTTTAATAGACATCAGTTACAAAGAGGGTTGTACAAAAATGCAATCAAAATATTTACAGATGAATTATACAGGCGTAGAAAGGTGCCTTTGATAAAGTCAGAATACTCATCAGGCTGATTCAGTATAATCAGAGCCGAATATAGCAGAGATTGACCCTAGAACTTTCTGCATAGAAAACAGCAATTTTGCCACCAAGCTATGAATATGTCCCATAGTGTCAAGCATACCAACAGAAAACAGAAGTCCTCCAAATGCATTAGGCTACACCTCTACAGTTCCATGCCATGTTGGGAGCTGAACTCCAAAACATCTCTTACACACACACACACACACAGAGGCATCTTTTCCATATACATACAGGTAGTCCTCGCTTAGCAACCACAATTGGGACTGGTAATTCAGTCACTAAGCGATGCAGCTGCTAAGTGGAAAATCACACGACTGTGACTAGGCTTACAATGTCACTTCCCATTGGGTTGTTAAGGGAAGCATCGCACTCACTAAGTGAAAAATCACATGATCATGACTTACAATTTTACTTCTGCCTTCCATACTATATACAGTATTAACTCTGCTTGTTGCCAATGAAAATGTGCACCAGCTGCAAAGCACACGAATGATCACATGACTGAGGGATGCTGCAATGGTCGTAAATGCAAGGATTGGTTGCTAAGTTATTTTTTTAGCACTATCATAACTTGAAAGGTCACTGCACAAGGCAGTTGGTAAGTGAGGACTACCTGTATACCACTCTCACCTTTCATCTAGACTTTGAATTATAGGAGGTTTAGTTCAACACATTTGGAGCTCACTAGATTGGAAAACTCTGTTATAGGGGTTGCTTAAATGAGAGAAGCCAAAATGGGAAGGGGCTGTTAAAGAATTTCAAAGTTATGAGGGAGAATGGAAGGGAGGAACCATATTTTGTGGTGTTTCTCAAGGGCCACTTGACCAGATCCTGTCTCCTGAATTTATTTCTTGATAAGCTACCATGCTTGTGGGATTATAACATTGATTTACTCATTTGATTAACAAACCAAAGTGAGCCTGGGATTTTTGTTAATAGACCAAAGAAAGGACAGCAGATATTCATATTGATCCCACCTCTCACATTACTGCTCTGACAAGAGCTGCTCTACAGAAAGACAGTACCTATCTATCTTTCCCAACAATATAATTCCCCAAACAATTTTTTCACGGGAAAAAAGATTGTAAGCTAAAGCATAAACCATCTAAGTTCATGATGCAATGTAAACTTTCACGGCCAATAAATCACTGGATCTATATGCTACGAGTTATGCTTTACAGCCTTTCCTCTAGAGTACCACTCAGATTCCACCAGCACTCAAGCCCACATATCAGAAGCCTAGCGTGATGGAACCTGCCACTATCGTGTTACCAAAATCCTGTTTCTTTCTGAGAAAATTAAACATTTAAGGCTGAATGCAAAAATTTAGGATCCTTCTAGAGCTTGGCAAAAACGGCAGGCAGACTAAAGAAACAGAGCAAGAAGCTGAATCTCTAAACACTATGAAAGGCTTGCCATGTGAAACAAAACCGTACCAATAAAGAGGAAGGGGCAGAATAAGCCAAAGGCTCAAAGTGGCACCTTTGTTCTGCTGCCTTTTACAGGAAAGGCCTCCTCCACCACATTCTGGGGAACATCTGCTAAGAAGTGAGGAGGGAAATCAGCTCCCTCAATCATTTGTTACTTAAAAATGGTTGCCCGTCAGCCAAATGAAACCTGAAGATGTCCACATTGTCCCTTACCGGCTGCATGGTGCCCCCAGCGATGATCACAGCTCGACATTCTTTCAGCACCGTGGCAAAATGCACAGCTGGATTGAGCAAAAGGAACTTGAGGCTGCTCAATGCTAAAGTACCTGGAAATATCAGCACGTTAGTAGAGTTGGCAAGTAAACAATTAAACACATGGAAGGGCAGCTTGAAATGCAAGGTTGCTTCCCCACCACCACCTGCCTTGCTACTGTGGATTTGCAGGATTCTTCAAGTTAAACAGTAGAAATATTCTGAGAGAAAGAACGCTGACAACAAATGCAACTGCTGAGGGTTCCCATTACCTAATATGGGAACATCACTTGATTAAGTTATGACAATACTTAATAAAGTGGTTTAATAAGTAATGATAAACACCATGACCTCCCTAATATTGCTGTACTCCCAGGATCCAAAATGAAGGGTATTAGGTGCAATAATTTAGCAACACCTGGAGGACAATATTTCCACATCTGAAATTGCAATCTAATTATTTAGGTAAGTCCTTCTATGAAAAAGCACCAAGCATTTAGATAAAAATGGTTTTTCACTGTCAGACTTTTCTTTCAGGAAAGGCATCTGAGGAGATACAGGTAGACTTCACTTAACGACTGCCCTGTTTAGCGACCATTCAAAGTTACAATGGCACTGAAAAAATAATTTTACAACCAGTTCTCACATTTATGATCACTGCAGTGTCCCACAGTCACATGATCGCCATCTGCGCACTTCACAACCGGCTTCCAACAAACAAAGTCAATGGAGAAGCTGGCAGTAAAATCTCAAATCAGTGTCCCATGATGTCTCGCTTAATGACTCGCAATGACTGAATGGGAAATTATGTCATAAGTCCTTTGTGGTCATGCAATGTTTCACTTAGTGACTGCGTTGCTTACAAATGGAGTTGCCAATCCCAATTGTGGTCGCTAAGCAAGGATTACTTGCAATAGAATTATCTTTAAATAAATAAATAT